ATTAAACATGTCATTTTTGAAGGACAGATTTATGTTGCTGCATGTGAAATGTGCATTGCATTCTTTYCCATACAGTAGAAGAGATGCTTAACTTATAAACAAGTCGCAAGCAAGAAGATATTCATACAACAGTTTGAATTTAATCGAATCATTCATGTGCGTCCACTGTTCTAGGGATGTAAAATATGAATTTATTTGAGGCAGCTGAGAATAACTCAAATGAAAATAAAAATTAGMCACACTTTCATGAAGAAGCCATGTAAGAGTCCATTTCATCAAAGTTGCTCATGCAGCTCCTGAAGGGCATCTTCTGAAAAGCTCAAGAGTAAAGTACTGCTCAGAGTTCTGTCAGGTTGTAGAGAAGAGGGTGTTGCTTTTAGCAGCTATTCTTACCCACACTGAGTAATTCGTTATCCATCATCAGTCTCACKAAAATAAATAGAATTGCTTCTGAAGAGCTAGAGGTGGGTGCATGAACAGTACTTGCCCCTCAGTGAAAAGTGTTTTATATGTGGATGCTGGGAAATGCATTKAGATATTTACCTTGGAGAGAGGAAAACATGTGTAGAAGTTGATGCTAATAAACATGCAATAAGCAGCTGTGGAAATGAAATTGGTGGAAGTGCATGAAGAGAAAATAGATAAAACTAATAGTAGCTGCCATGTTAGGGGCTTAGGTTTGCTGAAATTATGGATTTGTGTTACTTGAGAAATGTTATAAGACTTCTAGATGAAGCAAGAGTCATGTGCGGGGGGGGGGGGGGAACTCTGAATTTAATAGATTCTGTCTGGATGCAAGGGCATAAAGGACCAAAATAAGGTCCTGCATGCTTCCCTGATTCTGGCATTTCCTAAGTCATGAATGTCTAACTTTGCAATCTTAAAATTTCTTTATTTACCCCAATGACCCGAAGCACACATGACTTTTTACAGAAGCAACTGTAGTTGTCAAGTGTTTGCAATCTAAATTTGTGTAAGTCACAGCAGGAGCTAGTAACAAACAGTAGGGGTAACTGTTAAAAACATACTGCTTGGTGCTTAGGTAGCTGTGGTAACCATAGTATGTTCCTAAAAGTAGGTAGGGAAGCAGAATTTAGGTGGAAATACTACAATTATAATGAAGCTGAGAATCTTGGAAATGTTAACTGTGACTATGTTGAATCCAATGTCTTTGTGTGGTTGGATTTGTTATGGTCAAGTCATAAAGGACATGCACAGATTTGTGAAGATGCTGGCCCAGACTTCAACAGTTTGAATTGGTTCCAAGTTTGCCAACAAATTTCTTTTGATATGGTAAGCCATTTAGGAGCAGATTTTTCAAAGGCACTGAAAGAAATAAAGACACATTGAGGCATGTTTCAAAATCTAAAATCTCTGCAGGCAACTGTGGGTGCCTCGGTTTCCCACTTGGACAGTAGATTCACTATTAGTTGGTTGTCATGCGCTCATACTGATTTTTGTGTTGTTAAATTCTTTAGGGATGGTCTCTATTTTGGATTTTCAGTGGCAAGTAGGAAGGTTCCCTGGTTTTGCTTTTGCCAAGATTACATTTGGTTGGAGATTCTTATGCTCCTAAAATACACTGCCCTTATAGAAGATGAGTTACAAAATCCTCACTGTATTTGGCTGTTTGTACTCTTGTGTATCGGCTTCCCAAAGGGTTTTTTTGTCTCATAAACTGAATGGCAAGTGGTGCTTCTTTCATTGTAACATGGGCTTGCCTCTTGCTCCAAACAATTTGTCAGAGATATGAAAGTATGAATTCCATGACTAGAGAATTGGTTGTACAGAATATTTTGGCTCTCATGACATTTGAACCTTTTCTTTGTTATTTTATGTGCATCATATGCCTCTTCAGTSCATACCATACCCCTGCAGTCTATCATGCAGTACATGAATATTATAGTTAAGGTGGCCTTCAAATTAAAAGGAAGATCAGAAAAGTGTGTGCTCAGTTGACACAGTGGCAACAGTGGAAAAACAGGACCTTGWAAGATTGTATTTGTATCATCCAGACTAACATCATGAAGTAGATAAGAAGTTACATGGTGGAATTGCAGCTCATTAAAGCCACTGGGATTTTGTTAGGATTTAAAATACAGTTTTCACCTTTACGGTATTAGAACTAAGAAGAGGCAGTCACGTAGAGAGGCTGGCCAATGGAAAATCCTGACAGCTGTATGAATCCTTAGATTGTTGAAGAGGTATTTGTTTTTATGGACGTATGTCCACTAGCAGAACAAATTGAAGGGCCTAGAAAATAGGTCTGATTTGCAGTCCATTACATTCAAATTAGAAATGCAGGATCAAGCAGTTACAATCCAGAAAACATTGGAAAGTATAKAAGCTATATAATAAAAAGCATCTGAGAGATTTAACTGATGTAGTAATACATTGAAAAGGGGGAAAAAAAAAGGGAAACACCTTTGATGTAAAACTCAGAAGGAGGGCCTGTATTCGATGCCACTTGAAACAGTTGTATCCTAGCAATTCCAGTTAATAATAATAAACATAACAAGAGTTAAGATGTAGTAGTTAAATGAGCCATAAAAATGAAGAGTCCGTAATTTGTATGATATTGTGTCAGGTAATCGGATTAAAATAAACTAATGTTTGCATTTATTTGTGTTTAGGAGAAAATGAAGTGTAGCTGTTTGAGGCTACATACATTCCATCCTGGAATGAAAATCACATTGTTTTGACTGCGTTATTTCGGTATCCATGCAAACCATCCTCATCACTCTATAGTTTTTACCTCCTTAATGCAACTGGGGTTGTGTCATTTGAAATTAGTGGCTATAAGGCCCCTTGGAGAGTTAAAGAGGAGCAGCAATTCGAAAAAAAAAAAAATGAAATGCAGCAGTCAGTTAGGAAGAAAGGGCATTTTCCTGGTAAATGTTTTCCTAAATGGGAATTTTTCAGTGTGGTGTTTTGCTCGTGTGTTTGGCAGTCACTTGGAATCAAGTGCAGACTTGTGCTACATTGTGGGCTTGGCAATGACAATTTGTGTGTGTGTGGTGCTTTAGTTATATTAGCCCTGGAGGCAGAGTTAACACTTGCAGTGGGACAAGAGTATTTGCAGTCATCAGAGAACTTTGCAGTCAGCTTCAATAACATCACTCCATTTTTTTCACTTTTTTTTAACATTTTTTTTGGCAGCAAAGCACTTAGTAGAACCATCTGTCTTTCTATTAGTGTTTTTGAGTCCTGTTTTGAAGCTTCTTTGCTTGGCAAAGTCACTTTCATCCTTGGAAACCATTTAAAAAAAAAAGTTCTGTGGCTTTTTGCCGAAGAAGAGTACTATGCAAAAATTCCACACGGCTGTTCATTTTTGTTCTAAAAGAATACAGTTACTTTGTCTTTGTCTTTAAAAAAAAAAAWAAAAATAAAAAAAGCAAACCACAAAACCTCAAACAAAACAAACAAAAAATAAACACATAGAGAAAGGCAGGTATTGGACAGCACTAGGATAACTGAATGGGGCTAGAGAAGAAACCACATTTTATGTATTATTTTCTCCGGTAATTCAGCTGAGAGTATGTATATCTTCTAGTTAACAGGATCAGAGTAGAAAGGAAAATATTGAGGTAACAAAAAATGGTTTAAGTTAGTTCAATGAGTGGAGCTACATCTACTCTGTCTTCAGTCCCAATCTTAATCTCCCACTGCAAGAATTTATGTCAACAGTGCTCTTGAACTCAATCCTTGAAAATTGCTTCAGACTATAAAGACACAGTCAGCACACACAGGGGTGTTGACAGGTCCTGGAATAAATTAAAAGTTTACTATCCCAAATTTCATATCACTGTTATGACTGGTAACGGTGTTGGGTGAACCAAGACATGTCCTTCATTTTCAGRAGGTTAAATGAAAATAAAATTAAGTGCAAATGGTGTCTGAAATGTGGCAGTCAAGGATTGGTGCAGGTTCTCTTTTGCCAGTTCTGCTGTACAGGCAGTAACAAAGGCAGTGACACCTTCTTGCCCCCCTGGTCATAGAAGGTTATCTGTTGACACCCTAATTTTCTGAGTTTTTTAAGCCTACAGACCACAAACTAAACTGCAGTTTTCGAAAACGTATCGACCTCCAATGCCTCAGCTTTACAGTGCCATTAAGAATCTAGATGAACTCTCTTAAAAACTGAGCCAATCTGTCTTTACTGACTGATCTGGTCAATATGGTGGGGGTTTTAAATTAAAACGAGTCATTCAGCATTTTAATCCAGCAAACTTTGTGTTTCTCATCTGTGTGAAATACAGAGATGACTTCAATTTCTAGCAATTAAAAACCCTTAATGGAACTGGGTAAAAGCAACAGCATTAGATGTTGTGCCATGGCCCACTTCCAGCTTTGATGACTAATTTCTGCATGTCTTAAGTCCCCTGCAGTATCCACTTACAATATAATATTTTCCACTTCCTGACTTGCATGGTTGTGTACAGTGCAAAGTTGAACACCTAACACTTCAGACATAGCTTTTTGTTTTACTAGTAAATAAAGTGTCTCAGCCYTTTTTTCTGACCATCCCAGAGACTGTATCTTTTCCCATGTAAAAGTGAATGTAAGAGCAGAAAAACAGTACTGGCTGTACTGTGTGGTACTTATGCACTTATTTTTCCTTCTGAGGGGGYGTCTTTGTGTTTGGGCTCAGTCAGGGTGAAAGCTACTGTCTGAGACAGATACTGCTACACAGTTCAGTAAAAGAGAAGAAAATACCACCCTACAGTCAGAGATAAGTGAGTCATCAAGAGCTGTGGGGGGAATAATTAAGTGGGATATGGATATACCTTAGTGGAATATTTCAGTTTATTTTGGATTAATGTAATTCATATGAAGTTTTTGGTAATGAAGACGAAGCTGAACAGCTGATGCTGCTGGAGCACCCCAATATAAAGAGGTGTATTCAAACCAGTCCTCTCACACCAGAAGTGAAGGAAAGCATGTTAGCAGACGTTGTTCCCCAAAAAAATTCCATGTTTGATTTTCCCTCTCCCGTTCAGCAGGTCCAGGGTCAGCTGCCTCCATTAATGATTCCCGTATTCCCTCCAGACCAACGAACCCTAGCAGCAGCTGCACAGCAAGGATTCCTTCTTCCTCCTGGTTTCAGCTACAAGGCGGGATGCAGTAAGTCCTGTAGATTTTTTTTAGCTGGAAATGGGTATAGGACACAATTTCTTGCCAATCTGTGTAAAAATCACAGCTCACTGATGGACAAAGCCATTAACTTGCAGAGATGAGTGTAAAACAGCATTAGTTGTTACAGTATGAGAAAAGGTTGTCAGAGATGAGGAATGCCTTTGAACATAACAGCCAAACATCTCACAGAACAGGTAGATTTGAGCATCTTCTCTCTGACAGGTCTTTCTGACAAGTGAACATGCTCATGACCAYGAACTTGCATCTGAAGAGAATCTATTTGAAACTTCCCAATAAATTTCAACACTGTTGTAAGAAAACATGTTTTTTCCTGAAGCAGACTGCCTGCTATTTGTGAACTGAGGGCCTATTCTAGTCTCTTTCTTCAGATAGAACTCACATTAATCTCAACGGAGGTTCTGCACAGAGATCAAAGATAGCATATGCCTTTCAGTTTGATGGACTAACACAAACTCTGAGGATATTTGTGAGAGCCTAACACTAAAAAATATAGCATCTACTTTTTTAATCTTTGAAAGATTTGTATTGTTCTCTACACTCCCCAGATTTTTTTTTAAGTTTTATTTAAGCCTTCTATAGGATTTTATTTTCCTGTCAACAGGATGAGAATAAATACAAGTTAAGGAATAATGAAGGAACTTTATTTCCGTGAATAAACTTCTCTACAGCATAAATCTCATAGACTTGTTTTCATGCACTTGTGCTTGTATAACTCTTCTGCCATTGGTTTCATATTGTTATCCAGGACTTGCTTGTTCTACCCTTCTCTGTCTCCAGTACGGGTGTTTAAATATGATGTCCATGTCACTGTATCCACCTGTGTCATTGACTAACTCATTAATTCACCAGTTGGTTTGAGTCACTCAGCATTTGCCACCGCTGCATTTTTCTAAATGTAAGAACATAGAAAGATTTCTGTTGTTGAGCTGGCTTAGCCCACCATTTCAGATTTCTTTCAGCTTGTGAACATCATAGACACAGTACTAGAGCACTAACTTGAGGTTTTTTGGCCTGTAACACCTTTTCCTGATATTTTACAGACTGGGACCACTACTGAAAAGTACTGTTACAAACACTTCACGTCCCTCAGCAGCTGCAGTGCCAAAACATAGACTCATTCAGTTCTTGCAGTGATTTCAAATTTGGTCTCTCTCTGCTGGGGAAGTAGTGATTCATATTACAGAGTGTGTAACTGTAAGCCACACTGACTATGAGTGCTACCCTACCTGCAGGTCTGGAAAAGGTCAGGAAAGCACACTGTTAGACATGTCTGGCAGATTAAATTAGTTCCATGCTAATGAAGTCCAGTTCAGGTAGAAGGAGTTGAAGTGGTTTTTACCCTTCTTTTTTACTTACATGTACATTAACTCCATGAAAGTTCCATAGTTCTCACATCAATGAAGTAGATATGACATTACGTGTTTGACTAACCTTAAAAATTAACAGGAAAAAAGAGCAAAGTTTCTACTGCTTCTGTCAGTAAGGCTTGGAATTACAGTATGCCAAGGTCTAGGACTGAGGAGAAGCCAGTGGAAAAAGACAGCTCTGTGTTTGGTGATTGTCTGGCATGTTTGGCTGAATTTGACTGAGAAGCTGAGGAAAAGTGATAAGTAGTCCAAAGAGTTTCTACCTTTCTCCCACTGTCTAGTGTAAACAAAAAAGCACATACATGTTTTGTTACACCTAGAAAGCTTGTAGCAGTGAGAAACTTAGCTGCCTTCAAACCATAACATGTTCACATCAAGTAATGTTTTTGACAGACCATTAAAACATATTTCTCCCACTTTTCTCCTTGSCCTACTGTGTATCAGTCCACTTGGCAAAGATGTAGTGAACTGCAAACCAGAGAGCTTTGGATAAAATTTTGTAAAGCACCTCAGTGATTTAGGAGACTAAGCCTTCATCTGAAAAGTGGTAAAGGCACTAGGGTCTGAGTCTCGGGGATATTTAGCAAATACTTGTACTGTATACTTTAGTGYAGTCACCTGTGCTGGCTTGAACTGAGCTGAAGTGGGTATCAAAATTTTACTGCAACAGAGAAGGTACAGCAGATTAATTTGCTCAGCTTCAGAATGTGTTAAATGCCTAATTTTCACTGAGGTTGCTCGTAGGAGCAAGGCCTTCCTAGGAACTTCTGAAGACCCCACTAGCATCATCTGTACATGACTGCCATTCTGTGTTTTAAATTCAGTTTATRTGCCTGATGAAAATGGAATCTCACTTCTACATCTTCCTGGTCCTTCTGGAAAACTCTGCCCTTCTTTCTGGACTGATACATTTTTCAGGATTGTTTTCTGTGGCTGATTGATAGAAATTCTCTAATGGTGGTTCGGCTAGTTATTAGCATTAAGTAGCTGCACATAAGAATAATAAAAAAACTCTGTGGAACAATTCAATTTCAGTCATAAATAACAAAAAACTATGAAGGTTTTCGCATAGTATTCTTCATAAAAAGGAAGATTTGAAAATTTGGGGGAGAAGGAAGAGACAATTGTTGCAACAACCAATATTTACATAACTAGCTAGTGATGCAGGGTTCCTTGATTTTGAGTATCTGTTGGGGACACCTTCAAAGGGAGATTTATAATCTTCTGCACCCTGCCTCTGTGAGAAGTCAGATCTTCAAAAGAAGACACATGGGCCAAGCTTCTTGATTGAGCACTCCCAGACTTGCTTCTTTCCGGGCTGGGACAGCMAGGACTCTGTTAAAATTGCTTAAASTGASATGGCTCTTTTGGATGGAAACATGTTTCGAAGGGATTAAAGATGCGGCCTGGTCACAGTGGTGACCTTTGGCAGGGGRCTGTGGYTGGAGGTGCTGGGCTCTTCAGGCAGCACAGCTGTAGCTGGAAGAGAAGGTGTGATCAAGCCTCAGGGTCAGCGAAAGAGAAGAAATGATGAAAAGGTACACTGCTGTTTTACTTTCATTCAGCTTAGATAATAAAAGCTAATGAACTTATTCAGCACTTTCTGCTGGCCCTGTCCCTCCCAAAAGAGGGCAAAATGTAAGTTGCCCAGTGGTTTCAGTACGTATGTGGTAGGGTTCCTCAAGCAGTACCTCSCAAAAGACTCACAACTTCCCAGACMGAYRCTGGAAAGGAAGAGCACTGTTTGCTCTACACTTACTTTGTTTTCTGAGCATTTGACTGCAGATAACAGAAATAATTGTAACAGTTAATAGCAGTGATCCATTTAGRCTCCTTTCATGGCCAATACCTAAGGAAGACATGAAGAATAGGGCAGAAGTGTACTGATATTTTATCTCCCTATCCTTTGCTAGGTTCCGAGGATTGAGGACTCAGGGACCTTCTAACCCAGTGGTGGCATGGTTGTGTGATATATTATTGAAAACAGTTGTCCTTTGCTTGATTCCAACCTGATTGAAAACATTCTAGAGAGATGAAATGCTCAAAAGAATACAACAATATCAGTCTTTATTATGTGCAGAGCAAATGATTCAATTATGCTTTTCCAAATATTTTTGAAAATTGGGTAAATAAAGGGAAGAGGGGGATAAATATTTTCTCCGTGGTTATGTGGCAGGTCATGGTCTTTGGCTTCCAATTTGATGTACTACATTTTCTTTTCTTTCTTTTTCTCCATAGCAGATCATGCTTGGGAGTGGCTTGTTTTTTCATTTTGTTTTGTTTTTTTTTAACAGATGGTTTGCATTACATAAGGGACAATTTACACAAGTTGACACTTCCCCTTTTTTCTCTACGGCATATTGTGTGGTGGTAAAGTTGGCAGAGATAAAGGGAAGAACTTCTATTAGGATTATATTTCTGTTTGAGATGAAGATTCATAAGCTGTGGTTCCAGTTGATTTTTAACCTCCATACCTAGATATAATTTCAAGTATAAAATATTTAATATTATCATTTACAGCCAAAATATTTTTTCTCATGAGAAAAATAAATTGGCAGTATGTGATGGGCTATATTGTCCCCAATTAGCAAGGAAAATACTGATTACCTGCTTATTTGCCCTATACTTAGTTATTCATGTAAAGTATGCTATTTGAAATTCAAATATTTTGTTTTTTATGCAAACCTCTTGATATGTATTTTATTRTACACATAGTATGTAATTTTTAGATAGATATGTAATGCACATCTTTTTATAAAGGGCTGATGTTTCAAAGTGAGTTTTTAACTAAGTGATTAGCAGCATGAGCAAATGCTAGGAGTTGGCCCAACTATTTGAACTGGTTTTAGCAGCAGGTGAGCACCTTTCGTTTCAGCTGATGCTGGAATCAGACAGAGCCCGATTACTGTATTTCCCAAAGCTTCTCCCATGTTTGGGCTCCACAGATTGCCTCAGGTCATTTAGCCCTTCTTTTCTTCTCAGCCAGCATTCCACAAACCTATCACTTGTTACTCCTGCTGYTGCTGGTTCAGCTCTGCTCATGGTGCTTGCCACATAATAGACACAACTCCCAGGATTTTAGCAATGGCAAGGGAAATGTCAGCTCTGCTGAGGTCTGAGGAGCTGTTGCTGTTGACTTCACTGAAGTCAGATTTCACACCAGATGATACAGATCTGCTAGGGCCACTCTTAGAAATAATTAGAATTTATTTAGAGCTAATTAATATTTGAGAAGTGCTTTGAAAGCATAAAAATGGTGCAAGTGATAGAAGAGAAGAAGTTTTGTATTGTGCCCTTTAAAAACGGCATCGTTCCGCCTCTGAGCAGGCTGCTTGTCAGTCGTAGGTTGTGTGATCCTTTTATTAATGCACATATGTATGGATTCCTATGTGCAATATTAAGGCATRGTTACATCTCCTATATCCTATGTGGAATATTAAGGCATGGTTACATCTCCTATACCAGAAATACTAAAGGGAATGAAGTCAAGGTTTGGGAAAACGCAAGGGACTGCTTCTGGGGACTGAGATACAAAAAAAGGCAGAAKGAGTTAGGATGAGAACAGTGTTCTCAGGGGCTTCTTCAGCAAATCTAAGTATC